TTGAAGCTTGTTTGAATTTAAAAGTAGGGCTTGGGAAGTTTGCTTCATATTCAAATGTTTATGATTTTTTTACAAAAAGTTTTAGTTGTGAATGGACACATACCTTTATTTATTTATTTTTATGTGTTGCTGAGGATTGAACCCAGTGCCTCACACATACTAAGCAAGTGCTCTACCACTGAGCATGACTTCAGCTCCCTGTTTATGATATTTTTTACTGGAATTTTGAAAATTAAGAAACATGATTCATATGTATTATTATGACTTTATTTTCCAAGGCCAGAAAAATCAAAGGTAGTATTTGGTGAATGCATAGTATGTCATATATTTTGAGAGCATATTGTGACTGTGGTATGACATTCTACACTTGCTTATCTTTGGCCTTTCCAACTCAGTGCTGGAAGCCCCAAGCCATGGTTAGCTATGTTCTAAACAAACTCTTCTGAGATAGTTGTAACCTACATAGTATTGGTATTGGCATTATTTAAGATAAAAGTTAAGCCACTGTTTCCTTCATAAACTGACAAACTATAATGTATTGATATTATGAATCAAATTCCCTTCAAACAAACTACAGAGAGTTTATTAGTTTAGGAAGACTTATTTTCCTATAAATTTCTGTGGTAACACAAAAGATTGTTTTTCCCTTTTTTTTAAAACAGATCATTAAGTTGAAATAATGTCTGATTATAACTGATCCAAATAAATGTGATAAAATAAACAGAAACTTCTAAGTATAACTCAAATCAGTGACACTTGTGCAGTTTTTCTATAAAGTAATCCAAAGTGTATAGAATATGTATATAAGTTCTTTTCATTTTGAACAAAATTATCTTTTAGGCAGTAGCCATAAATAAGAGATGAAATGCAACCTCTCAAAACTTCAACTTTAGGAAAAAAGGAAACTGGGAGAAAAAGAAAATTTGACCAGTTATCACTTTATAATGTGTAAAGTACTTTCATCTAGAGAAAGAATTTGATTTAGGAAAAGACTTATGTATTTTTCAGGGAAGAGTATACAAAATTAGTTTTCACTAAATGACTGGACTTTGAAGGATTATAATTACCATCAACTATAAACATATGTTGGGTAAGACTATAAAGCAATTCTGCACCAAACCTTTTATTAAATATTAACAAGCAGTCGAATATTTTTGTCATTTCCCTAAGTAGTAAAAGTGCAAGGGACTACATACAATAGGATATCAGTTAAATATGATGCAAACAGCCTGGATAATTCACAAACTAGCTAATTGGATGTTGAAAACAGCCTTACCTTTATACCTCTACTTAAATAGTCTTTCTTACCTGGAAAAAGTATGACTGTAGAGGTTGATCCTTATTTTCTTCATCCACATATAGTCCTCCTACCACATATACTTGATTTTGTTGGGTAACAATGCTGGAATGATTTCTGGGGATCTGCTCAGCCAGTGCAGTAAGGTAGCATTCATTTTCTGCGGGATCATAAGCTACTGCGGCTGTGTCATTAACCAATAGGATAAGGTCTTTGACAAACATTCCATGCCTGGGAATGTCGTTCAGGTAACCAGGAAGCAAATCTTCATCACCAACATCACCATTCACCTCACCCTCCTTAGTCTTCTCTGTATTTTTGCTAGGTTCTGGGAGTTTGCCWGCAAAAGCATCTTTTAGAACTTTGATTTTTTTCTGAAGTTCTGAGTTGCTTTTGATGATATCATCTTTCTCAACATGATCTTTAAAATATTTTTCTGTCATTAGGCGAAAACGAATACAATCAAACACTTCGCTAAGATTTTTCACCCTATTTTCTTTGTCTGTTCGCACCCATTTCATTACTGCCTCAAATACTGCTTCTTCCTTTTCTACATTTAGGCTGTCATTTGAAATGACTGAGATCAGTTCCTGTGGAGACAGCTGCATAAAGTCCTCTTCCTTACAAATCTGTACAAAKCGTTCAGACACAAATTCACGAGCAGAAATGGCAAGTCTCGGGCAATCAAGAAGAAGTCCTAATCTTAGGATGGCTAGACAGTTACCAGGAGCAAGTCTTTTCTGAAGATAAGAAACGCAGACAGTGAACACTGAGGGGATCTGAAAGCGACTGGCCAATGCAAAAATATCTTGCACGTTTCCATCATTGAGATCGATACTGGCAGAGTACAGGTATTTGATGATCAAATCAAGCACAGCAGGGTCTACATTATCTAGTACAACCTCCTTTTTTTTCTCTTCATCAATTTCAGATAAAAAATACTCACGGAAATAAGGACTACAAGCGGACAAAATCAATCTGTGGCAAGGAAGACTTTTGTCACCGGCTTTTAGGGTGCAATCGATGAATTTTTTCTCATCCAGGAGATCTTTTAGACCATCCTGAAGAAGGGTGGATTGGTAAAGCCGCAGTTCCTCTGCGAGTTCCCGCTGGGAATCCATTTTGTGAGTAACCTGGGTAAGGAAGGGGACACTGAAGGCCTTAGCTCCTTGCAGCACACAGGTCTAGCTGTAAAAAGGCAGATCAGTGTGCTTTGCCCAGCTTGAAGCCTTTGCAATTTAATCCCACCAGCTAAATATAGATACCAACTCTAACAACGGGAATTTAGGAGAGCTAGTTTGGAAAGCAGAGTTGTTCTTKCAGCTGTTATAGATTGATAGTAACAACTGGAACTTTTAATCACTAAGGAAACAGCTAAGAAACAAGACATTTAAGTGGAAAGCTTTAAAATGCATAAAGTATTAGAAGATACACTAATAAAGGCTACCACAAGAAAATGTTTATTGAATCAACAGAAAAATGAATCATAAAAATGAGTCACTCCTCTAAAAATGGTCTAGTGGCAAGCTACTTGGCTATCTGAATTAATGATGCAAAGGTCAAGAATATGAAGTGAGTTCATTTGACTTCTCATAAGCAAGATCCCCTTTCCAATAACTGTTACACATTTTTTATCTTTTACTCAAAACAGTGGGGTATAGATCTAAGTAAGAAACTTAAAGGTGTTTACTTATGTAATATAATTAGTTTTATAAAACCTTTGAAATTATATCTTCATCAAAACAGAAATCACAATATAGAGAAACTAATTTTTAAAATAATGTCTTAAATATATAAATAAACTGACAAAACTTCATTAGTGAGAAAATTAAAATGAGTACTGAATTAAATTATAAAATTAATTTATTCACACCTGCCTTGTTGTGCAAAGGATTGAATGTGGCAAATAATACTAATTAAAATGAAGGCAAAAGAATAAATCAGACTGGAGAAAAATAGGCAAACATCAACACTAGAGAAAGACCCCCACACACAAATGTGATCACTACAGATATTTTATAATTTTTAGTGTTGAAATTATCTTTCATTAAGTAAAAGTTAAGAAACAGGACAGATATAACCCTATGAGAACAATGTCATCAACAGAACACAGCAAAATCAGAATGAAGTGCTACATCAGCCATAGGGTTTAGAAAACAGATCTTATTTAAAAAATATATATGTAAATATATATAATTTTAATTTTATATAAAGTAAAATATGTATTTTATTATATATGCACATACACCCATGTAAGTATTGATTATAAGGGAACACTGCATTATGGGATGTATGAGTCATAATTTAAAACAATTGAACCTTTGCCCATACATAGATGGTATATACTTCTTCACAAAACACTTTATTACATAATCATAATCTGAACTCAGCAGAGCTTTAGAAATACTATAATTTCAAAAGTTGGTATTCTTAAATGTGCCCCAAAGAACAGAAGCTCCATGAAGACAGGTTTTGTTCATTCTGTGCTGTTCAATGCTATAGTCTCTAGGCCTTATGGGTGCTCCATAAATATTTGTTGAATGATGAATGCCCCCAGATCAGAGAATTATGTATTTTTAATCTTCAAGGTTTCTATTCATGAGTAAAGGCTTTTCTCTTTTATTTTACATCACAGTGAAGTCAATGGTACTGTCAGCTGCTAAAACAACAGCTGAAAGAAGAGCTCATTGATTCTTTTTCCATTTATAGATGTCACTAAAGGTTTTAACACACTAGAAAAAAACCAACAGCTGCTCCCTTGTTTAAACAATAAATGACTCATTTATTTCTCTCTACACGTAACACCTAACATTTGAAAAGATTAGTGAGTCAGATGCAAACTCCTTGATATGACATTTGAGATAATTCCTTAGTTTTKGGCAATTTTATAAAGCCTCTTTTGCTTAAAAAGTGGTATTTAAATAATATTTATGGTGGTATTTTATTTGTGACTCCCTAATATAGGTTATTATAACATTTCTTAAAAATGTGGAAATCTTTTCCCTTGAAGTTTTTGTTCATTGATTTTTAATAAACTCAGGTTAGCACTATGTTGTCCTGTGTCTTTCTATATTTGGACACATAGTTGCATGTTACTGTAAATGTTTTTATATACTCATTCCTTTCCCATTAGGGAAAGAGGACTACTTTGGCTAATTTCAATTATTTGACAAAGGTTCTGTACAATGTTTTTTAAACTGAAATAGTAGCCAAAAACACTGAATGGTGCCAGAGAGGTCACCAAATTATACCTAACCAAGAAATTAGAAAAATAATAGATTATTTTTTAAAACTCAAAAAACATTTCAATGAATCAAAATGAGAAAAAAGTCCTTAAGTGGACAAAACTATTTCCTTACAAGAACAATCTACTCTTGCCAAAACTATATTGAAATTATCTATAAACTAGCATACAAAACATTTACAGAGAGATTGAAGTACACCACAGTTATAATTGTTTTTTAGTTTTTACAAAAATGATCCCCTAAAAATGACATGTTCAAAGTCTGTAATTTGTATTAGAGTTGGCTTACATTTGGAGTTATGTGATAATACATTTAAAGTAGATTTTTATAATTAAAAGGAATTTTTTGATTATTTCATAAGAATACTTATTTTTTAAAATAATACTTTCAAAACATTAAATGGTGCTGCATAAATTCTTTATTAAACCSAACATAATACAGTCATTTAAAATCTGGAAACTTATACAAGTATTAGATACAAAATAAACATTTTACAAGCTAGATACATTTCAATTACAATTTTAGATATAATTTTTAGAAAACAGAGTTTTCTAAAAATATTTTTTCTTAATCATTAAAAAACTCTCTTAAAAGCTTTAAATATAAAAGCTGTAAATATAAAAACTATTCCATGCCTTATAGTAGGCGACTAATGTCTGTAATCTTGAGATATCTTTAAATAGAAATCCAGCTCAACTCAAGATCAACTCATTACTTCCCAAAGTCCCTGTAGTGTGAATCCATCCTTCAATTTCTCTATTGCAAGCCCCAGTTCTTCTGAAAATACAGGTTCACGATCCTGTTGCTTTTTGGGAGGTAAGAGGATAAGATGGGGAATAGAGAAGGTGGGCAAGGAAGAGGAAAAAAACAAAAAATAGGTTTCACATAAGTTTGTGAATGCTAAATGTTGGAATATAGAAACTTCAAAAAATATACTATAGCTAAAATTTTCTTACCTTATTGCCATCAGCAAAATAAGCCTAAAAGATAAAGAAAATTACATGTCAATATGACATAAAATAGATCAGTGGGCTAAGGAATAGGCAATTAGTTTGCAGAATGATTTTGTAACTAAATGTATTACATACATTGTTATTGTGTAATAGTTACATATATTGTATTACATACATTGTTATTGTTTAATAATGATTTTCTCTTCTCTATAATCCTGGCCTCAAAATTTATTTCTCCTGTCAATCAATATTAATGTCTATAAGAGTTATGCTTTAAGTTTTATAAACAAATGTGCTTTGTAATTAATGTATAATTAGCATTGCCAAGTAGAAGGGAGATAAAAAGAATAACATAAGAGCTATAACATTTCTTCTTTACTTTTGGTAGAAGATGGTGGCAAAACAAAACAAAACAATCAATACTTCAATGTGTCAGCAAATGCATGTGAAAATATTTGTTACCAGAAAGGTATTCTGGTCAGACTCATAGACCACAGTATGGATAAAGCGTTATTATTATATTGTCTATTAATTAACTAATACCAATTCAGAATAGGAAAGCTTATTCTTCAAATACATATGCTTTCCTAAAATTAACATAAATTAAGGGAAGCATCTCATAAAAATTAACTATGAACAGCATAGGTTTTAAATTAATTTAATTAACTATAATATTTAACATTCTTTTATACTAAAGTATGAAGAAGCTTTTCACATGTCTAAAATCCTCTGAATAACTATTCTCAAAACTATTTCCTGCTTTGGTAATTTAAAAGTCTGTCACAAAAAGAAATTCCCTCACCTAAAAAAAGTTATCCTCAAACTCATGTCAAAAGGCTCGAGTTCTACAGTGTTTTACACACAACATTATTTAATTAAATATGACTAAGATACAAATCATAAGAAATTTAATAGTTCTCCTTTCAGACACTCACCACAAATGCATCCGTGTGATCATCAGCATCTATTTCTACATCATCTTGAATTTGTTCAACTGTCAGAGCTTCAAGGGGCTGTGGCTGAAAAAAAAAAAAAATCAACAATTGTCAAAATGCATCAGAAACAATATTAATTAAATCATTTTAGAAAAATGTACTTTGAGAGCCATAAATGCTTGTAAAAAGATAACAATTATAACTGATTGAGTCTTACATTCTTCTGTTGTTAATACTAACTTAAGTAATAAATTAGTTAAACCTAAGCTTTTAAATATTTAGTCAACATCATCAAAAAGTTCCAGAGTGGGATTTACACAAATTTGTATGCTTAGGGGGAATTCCTTTTTTTTTTTTTAATAGTGGTAGATGGATTTTATTTGTTTATTTTTACGTGGTTCTGCGGATCAAACCCAGTGCCTCAAGCATGCTAGGCATGCTAGGGCGCTCTGCCACTGATCTAAGGCCCCAGTCCTTAGGGGGGATTCTTAAAGGGAAAACTCTCAGGGCCAGGGACATAGCTCAGTGGTGAAGTGCTTGCCTACCAATGCACAGAGCCCTGTGTTCAATCACAGGGCTTTGTGGGATGGTAAGTATAGATGGGGGAGGGGGGCGGAAGGAAAGAAAGAAGGAACAGAAAAAAAAAAGAAAGAAAAAAAACTCTCACTTTTTCCTTTTCTCTTCTTTTTTTTTTTTTTTTTTTTTTGGTATTGGGGATTGAATCCAAGGGTGCTTTACCACTGATATGGATCCACAGGTTGAATATCACCAGGGGCACTGATTAAAGAGTGGATGGAAGGGCCACCAGCACTAGAGAGTACAAGCGAAGGCCCCAGCAAAGGAACAGAGAGCAAAAGAACCTGTGATAGAGTGGTCAGTGATGGGATCATGACAGGGAAGACAGAAAGGGCAGTGACAATAGAGCAGATTGTGAGGGCACCTCTGATGGAATGGACAGTGAGGATCTCAACGGTACAGCAGATAGCAAGGGCACCAGAGGCAGAGCCTCTGGTAAGAGTATCAGTGACAGAGTATACAATGAAGACACTAGTGACAGACTGGATGGCCAGGATCCCAGCTGAAGAGGTAAGTCACACCAAGAGAGAGTTGAAATACCTAGAGAGCAGGAACTCCGACAGCARTAAGAAATCATGAGAAAGGAAAAGAGCCGATGTATAGGCATAATATTCAAAATATTTCAAAACTAGCTGGGCATGGTGGCACATGATTATAGTCTACTTGGAAAGCTGAGGCAGTGGATTGATCACTCAGGCCCAGGCATTCAAGACCAGCCTGGGGAACACAGACACCATCTCAAAAACAACAACAAAATAAATAAATAAAAAACTAAAGCTAGTATGGCAGAAGCTCTGATTAATAGGGATGAATACAGGCCATGCTCACAAAGCAGACTCTGGCAGGTGCTGTACTATAGGGCAAGGGAGAATATAATGGTATCCATAAGGCATAGAAAGCTTGCCCATGCTAATGGGGGGCTTCTGTTGAATGAAAATAAAGCTGACAGAGTGCGAGACTCGTCTGTCCCCATCAGAGGAGCCCTGAATAGAGAGATTTTTCTGGATAGGCTGATCACCTAAAAGACAGGTATGGGAGAATGATGAGAAGGCCGCCTGCTAGAAAACAGGTAATGGTCACCAATTATACGTGGTCCTGGGGCCATTCCTACTTGAGCAGAGTTTGTATATTCATCATTTAAAACAGTTTAAAGTTAAACCGTACAGAATGTTTTTATATCTGAATTTTACAGGAAGTTGGAAGGCAATTCAGCAAACTCCGAATTTCACATATTGAACAAATTACCTTTTCTTCCATTTCATAATCCACTCCAAATATAGGACTGGCAGAATAGACTTTGTGAAGTGAATTGATTTCTTTAACTGATTCCTGTAGTTTTTCCACAGGATCTATTTTAAAGCCAAGAACATATCCTCCACTCTACAAGAAAAAATAATGAAAAACAAAAAAACAAGCCCAAGAAATGACATTTGTAGTATATGATAAAACTTTAGCTGTAATCATCTACATGTTGTAGAGTACAACATGTAAGCTTGATTTTTTTGGTACTAGGGAACTGAACCCAGGGGCACTTTACCACTCAGCCACATCTCTAGTTCTTTTTATTTTTTGACACAGGGTCTCAATAAGTTGCTTAGGGGCTCACTAAGTACCTGAGGCTGGCCTCAGACTTGTGATCCTCTTGCCTCAGCCTCCCAAGTTGCTGGGATTATAGGCATTCATCATCACATCCAGCGATAAGTTTGATTTTTTAAAAATTAAATGCCTTACTATGAAATATTTCAGATACATATAAAAATAGGAGAGTACAATGAGCCCCCTCACAGTCATCATGGAACTTCAAACTGTAGCAACATGTGGCTGACTTTCTAACTACTCCCTCACCTGATCTCCCATCCACCTAACCACTCAGGATTACTCTGAAGCATGTCCAGATATCACATGATTTCATTTGTAAATATAAGCTGATCTTCAAATATTAAAAAAAAAAACCACTATAGATTGTGAAGGCCAAGGAAACTTAAGTTTTTCTAGAGCTAGGCCTTGAAAAGGAATATATATTAAAAGAAGAAAAGAAGTGGCCTTAGGCTATCTCCTTAAAAAATTAGGAAAGAAACTTGATTAGGATAGGTTGTTAGAAATATTAGAAAGTAGCATACTATAACTGGTAAGAGCATTTACTTTGGGTTGAGAGCATATGCTTTTTAGTGTCAAATTCTGATTTTAYAGTTAATTTACAAGCTGTATGATGCCTGGAAACTTACTTTCCGTAACCTTTCTAAGCCTTAATTTTCTAACACAAAATGCTGATCAAGTTGTTTTATTTATATAAGATATATATGACACTTGATACAGTTCCTGGGACATAGTAAGCACTCAGTAAACAGAGATATAGGTCACGGTAAAGGAGTGAGTAGACATTAGTATTTTAATTTAGAAGTGATTTTATAACTCAATTTCTTTCCCCTAGAAATGGGAACTGAACCCAGGGCCTTGTGCATGCTATGTAAGTATGCTACCACTGAGCTATAAACTCAGCCCTTATCACTCACTTTTTTAAAAAATGCATTTTAAATGTTTTATTTAAATATATTTCTGCATCTGGACATGGTAGTGCACGCTTGTCATCCCAGCAATATGGGAGGCTGAGGCATAAGAACTGCAAGTGTTAGCAATTTATCAAGAATCTGTCTTTTAAATAAAAAATAAAAAGGGTTAGATGGAGCTCAGTGGCATAATGCCCCTGGGCTCCATTCCAAGTACCCTTCCCCCAAAAAAAATTCCTGCAAAAACATGGTATATGTGAGAATATAAATTCTCAAACAGAATGGATATATATGTTTCTATATATATCTATGTAAAGAAAGTTTTGTTGTGAATCAGACCTGAGGTCATGAGTAAGGTTCTTAACTTCTCTAGGCCTGTTTCCTTCACTGTCAAGTGGTGAAAAATAGTAAGTGTATCATAGAGTTGTTAGATTGGGTGAATGTATGAAAAGCATTTAGCACAGTGACTTGATTCTATCGTTAATAATAAAAGTGAGTGGGATGTAGTGGCACAGTCCTGAAATATCAGCTATTTGGAAGATTAGAAGTTCCAGGCTAGCCTCAGTAACTGTGAGAGGCCTGGTCTTCAAAATAAAATAAAAAGAAGTAAGGATGTAGCTCAGTGGTAGAGTGTCTGCCTAAAGTGTGTGAGACCCTGAGTTCAATCCCCAGTACTGCAAACAAATAAAAATAAAAATGATGATCATAATGACAATGATTATCTGTCCCAACTAAAAAACATAGGATTCTTCTATGGAGACAATTTACTATAACACTTTAAACACTTGATGTACCTTCATATTATAACAGAATATTCTTCTTGGATGTAAACTGCTTACTATATACATAAAATTAAAAACCTACAGCATCACATAGTTTTAAAAGCCTACAAAAGATTAATAAAAATGTAAAACATCTTACCTGTTGAGAGCTTTCTATGACAAGAGCTAAACCAAATTTTGAATCTCTAATCTTTATCGAACGCTGGATATAAAATGAAGAAGAAAAAAATGCATGTCTTTATTTCATAATCTCAAGAATAGAATATCTTATCTTCCTTTATGAACCCCCCAGAGAGCTCATAAATGAACAAGACCCACATATAAGGTGGCAAACTTGTAAGAAAATACAAAGATGATATCTCTAAAATATGTACCCAATTGTCTGACTCAAATATCCTTCAATTCAATGGAATCAGCAACTTTTCTCAATATTTTACACAAAAGTCCAACGATATTTCGGTTATGATGATCCAGTGTCTTTTGTGGTTTCCTAAGGTTGGATTAGTTTAAAAGTCATATGTGCCTACTGTTTCTCATGTTCCAGGTGACTAAATTCTAAAAATGTCCATATCCACTAATTTTAAAAAATAAATTTATGGGTACTCATCACTGGCCATCAAGAAAGGCTGGGATAGATAAAGTGCAATTGACATTAGTTGATAAATATGACATGAGGATTAAGATTGATCAGAAGGAAGATACTAATCTTGAGAGGAAGGAAGAAGAGTAGAAGCATAATGATAGGGCCTATAGAAAGAGATATAAGATGTACTAGCTGATGGAGAAAGGGAGAACTGTGGAGAGAACCTAAGATTATGACAGCCCAAAGGCCCATGATTAGTCATATGTGGCAGGTAATGGTATATCACACTTTCAGACAGACTGTAAGTTAAGAGAAAGATTGAGAAAAAGAAAGAAGAGAGGAGAAAGGTTTTAATGGTAAATTCTTATGAAAACCAGTCTTTTCATCCACCTACTTTATATATATCATCATTACATAGTTCCAGTTCAGAACCATAGAACACAGGCACCCTGGCTGTAATCTAGGTGACAGGGGCTGATAGAAGTGGCAAGAAGTTTATATATAAAGAGCTGAAGTTAGAATATGACTGCTACAGTGACAAAGTGTGATGATATCATATTGCAAGTTGTTTGGGCCAGTTGAATTCATTCCAGAGGCTGTATTTGGCAACTCTATTTTAAATAACAAAAAATATCCTATTTGAAGAAYGGAATGCAGAAGGTTGTTTACTACWCAGTAAATATTCAGCATAACAGAGGCTAGGTTAGGCAAACTATAGAACATACAAATGCAATATAAAACAGCAATGAACAGTATAAAACACTGGTTTATCAAATATCTATATAAACTGTCATACCTTCCCACCCTGATTACAAATTCTCATATTTCTTTAGATGGCCAGAAATAATTTTCTTCCTATCAAATGTTATGTTTTGCTTTCCTCCACCAGACTGAGAACTCCTTGATGGCAGGAACTATGTGTTGGTTTATGATTTTTCATGACTATCTCTAGTACATAGTAGATGCTTAATATTTGGCAAATGAATGAATGATCAGATATTTTAAAGTTGCTCAGAAATCAAGATGTAGCAAAACAGGCTTGGGAATATTTGCAAAGAAATATCCTTCTCATAGGCCAAGAATTCTCTTTTCGAAAAAGGATGTTTTCTAGATATTACATATACTGTATCTACTCAATGAATATTAATAAAACTTCTTAGTCTTTTTTAAAAAACACTTTATTTATTTTTATGTGGTGCTAAGGATCAAACCAGGGCCTTACACATGCTAAGTGAGCATTCTACCGCTGAGCCACAACCCCAGCCCCAAAACTTCTTAGTCTTTTTAAAACAATTTTTTTAGTTGTAGATGGATATAATACCTTTATTTTTAATTTATTTATCTTCTTATGTGATGCTGAGGATCAAACCCAGTGCCTCACACATGTTAAGCAAATGCTCTACCACCGAGCCACAACTCCAGCCCAAACTTCTTAGTCTTAAGACTATTTGTATCCTACAACAAGGGTGATTATCATATGATAACTGCACAGGATTTTCATTTACTATTTTTATGTTCCATTTAATTCGGATTAGAATTGAATAGTTTGTTTATATAAAATGAACTTTTATATAAAAGTATATTGAGTTTATTATTTCTTTCACTGAATCACATATATATCACAACAGTAAAGTAACTACCTACCTACTCACAAATTGATATCAGATATAGTCAATTCTTTTTTTTT